ACACACACACACACACACACACACACACACCAGACAGGGGCAAGAATGGGACTGTTTCCAGGGAGAGCTGGCCTCTGAGGGGGTTGTGCGGTGCATACAGGTCCAATCTGGTTCCAGGCAGCTGGTGCCCCTGGGCATGGGGCTGAGATAAAGCGTCCCCAGCCCCAGTGCTCTCAGGCTGCCCGGGACACACAGCTGCTGGGCTGCAGTAGGCACGTTGCCTCTCCCTAACCCAAGCCTCATAGTCCCTGAAAGGTGACCTGTGGGGGCACCATGCTGCTCCCTGCCCCCCTCCTTAGGATGGCATGGGCACTTACTAACGGGTAAGCAGCCCACCCCAGAGCCCTCCACTAAGATCCTTTTCCTCCTGCCCCATGACTGGCACCCTCTGGGGCAGCCAGGCTCCCCCCCTGACTTCAGCCTCCTCTTCAGTTCAATAACTTCCCTGGGCATTGGCTTTGGGGGAGCAGGGTCACAGGACAGGGCTCCTGGGTTACAGAGGGGCAGTGGCAGCATCTGTCCTTCCTCCATCTGTGAGCAGGCGGTGGTGTGAACACACTGAGACCATTCCGGTAGAGGAGGAAATGACACCCCGTCAGGAGGACCTGGTGCCCTGTACCAACCTCTACCATTACCGGTGCCTGGGCTGGCGGCTGGACCTGTCCTGGAGTGGACGTGCAGGGCTCTGTCCCATCTACACATGAGTGAGGGTCAGAGCCTGCACTGGCTGCAGAGCAGGAAGGAGTGAAAGGACCACATCCTGAGTGGGGGAGGACTGGGTGGTGACCTGGAGAAGCAGGCCTTTGGGAAGTAGGTCTGGGTGGGCTCTCAAAGGGCAGAGAGTGCGGGATGGGGGGTGGGTAGGTGGGGTGGGTGAGTGGGCATCACTGTGAGCAGCCCACAGAGAGGCTCGATGTCTGCTCCCGTGCCTGCCCTCCAGTCTGCCTTCCCAAGTTCATCTCCTTTGCATGTGGGGAAATGAAGACCAAGAAGGGAAATTATATTCGTAAGATAAAGCCACTCAGTAGGTAACCAGATTGAATGAGTGTCCCAGGCCATTCCTGGGGATGGTGCTGGGCTGAATGCTAATGTCTTTCTCCCTTCCACCTGCTCGGTGGACCCAGGCCCCCAGGAACCCGGCCTGCTGCATGGAACTGGACAGTGAGGGCTTGCTGCCCAGGCTGAGGGGGGCACACACTGCACCCTGGGTAAGTGCCGGAGATTGGCCCAGATGGGCAGTTTCATGGAGGTAGCAGGCTGCCTAGGGAGGGAAGTTGGGTCCAGGCTGACTGACTGGGTCTGCCCCATTCTCTCCCTCTACCCACTACAGCCCTTGCAGAAGCCAGCCAAGAGGGCCACTGCTTTGCCACGTGGCAATGCCAGCCTCGAGCAGGCTCAGCTAACGCTTCTGCAGGAAGCCTGGAGGAGTGCTGTGCCTGGCCGTGGGGACGCAGCTTGCAGGATGGCCACTCCCAGGTCTGCCTCAGCTGCTCTAGCCAACAGCTGCCAGGTGGGTCCTCAGCCTGCCAACCGGCACAGTCGGGGCTGTCACCTACTCCCCCCATAGGCACTGCCACATGGAGTTCTTGAACTCTGGGCCTTTCCCCAGGGCCCATGCCCACTCTCTTGTCCTCTCAGATGAGCCACCTCCCATCCCCTGCCCACCAGAGTGACCATGCCTATCCACCTGCCTCCTGCCTCCCCCACACTCAGAGGCTCATGGGTGGTGCATCTCCTCCAGGCAGCACCCCCTCTCCGGCACTCCTGCAGCCCCTGGCAGGGGCTGTGGCCCGACTCTGGAGACAGCGCCTGCATCCCTTGGCCACCTGTGCCAGCTGGTCCGGCTAGTCCACTACTGCACCTTTGACGGGCGCCACTACCACTTCCTGGGCCGCCGCACCTACCTGCTGGCTGGAGCTGCTGATTCCATCTGGGCTGTCTACCTCGAGCCCATAGGCCATTGTCCCCAGCCTGGGCACTGTCAGCTGGTGAGGAGAAGGACAGATGCTGACCACCTTGCCCACTATGCACTCCCCCCAGGCC